TTACTTACTAATAGATAGTAATAATTAATATTAGTGATAATTAGTAATTGTAGCTTGGAAGTAGCTAAAGTGTGTGTACATTGCTCGGGAGTGCCAGAAACTCTCTCAGATGTGAGAAATGGCCTGCCTGGATCCGACTTAGGCCTTCTTGTTACTCAGAGATCCGCAGGGCTGGTGCTCGGCTGCAGGAGGAAGCTGTGCAGTCCTTATGCAGGGAACTGCTGCAGCACAAGGCAGGGAGCACCGAGAGCACCCTCGTGTTGAACACTTTGCCCTGGGAACGGACCGAGGTGATCTCCAGGACCGGGCCAGCTGGAACAGAGACTTTAGGTATGTCTAACTCGGGGGTGACTCATGTATCAGAATTTCTTACAGGGGCAGAGACAGCTAACAAAGAAATACTCTGCCTCTCCCTGCCCTGGGGAGGGTTGACTGACTTGTCAAATCGCTCCTTGGGACTTTATCCCACTTCAAGTTGTTCCTGAACTATGGATGAAGAAGAGGAGGGTGTGAAAGGAGATAGTAGGTCTGACGTGAGAGCAGCAGGGCAGCACAGTGTGACTTAGGGTTAGGTCTGGGGCAGATGTTGGAACAGAATCTCTTTGCTTTCCAGCCCTGGTGACAGTCCCCAGTATGGGTTATGCTCTAGTGAGGGAACCGTTGCTGCCCCCTGAGCCTGTGGTAGTGAGCGAACAGGTAAGCACAACAGTAGTTGTCCTCAGATCAGTGTATCCTGCATCAAAGGTTGATTGGTGAGAAATGTAAGGAATGCAGCACGCAGCAAGTCTGCACACTAGATTTGCAACTAGGGACTCAACTCCCACAGGTGTGGGTCTGTGAAATCTGTTTCTGTCCTTTTCCCCAAGGAGGATGGCTTCATTGTCATGGAGAATGGGGTGATTGCTGTCTGCCTGGACATGATGGGGCACCTGATCTCGCTTCGGCTGGTGGACTCCGAGAGGTATGTCTATCACCCAGTTACTGGAATCACGTTCCTCAAACCTCTCTCAGGTTGTCTTCTCACTGAATGCCCTTCTCCACTGCCAGTTCTTCTTATGCTGCTGTTTCTCTGTTCCACTTCGTTCCAGAGAGTCAGTCCCTGATGGCTGCTATGCCAACCAGTTTGCACTCTTTGATGATGTTCCCCTGTACTGGGATGCCTGGGATGTGATGGATTATCACTTGGAAACCAGGTAGAGGAGCAGTGCATGCAGCACTTGGATTTTGACTTTGCTCTGAGGTTCTTGCCTCCCTGTCCGTCCTAGCTGTAACAAAAGCTGTAACAGAGCATTCACTCTGGAGAAGTGAGTGCCTGCTGTGTGGGAGGCTGGATTGGGATTTGGGAACCTGAATCTACCAGGCTGAGACCAACTCTGCCTTTATCCCTTTCTCTAGGAAACCAGTGACAACGCTGCTGAAGCCTCTGAAAATCACCCTGGCTGGGGGCCTGCGGGGAACCGCAAGCTTCTCTCTGCAGATCGGGGAAAGCAGCACCTTAACCCAGGAGATCATCCTGGATGCCACGTGCCCGTACCTCCGCTTCCTGACCCAGGTTTGCCCAGTGGCTGCCGCGTGATACGAACATCTGTGCTGTGCAGGCAGGGCCCTGGGAAGCTGAACCTCACATCTGAATTAGGTTCCCCCTCCTGTTTCCTTCCCTGGAGCCCCCCTGCTGCCTCTCCTTCTCTGCCTTAGGGGAAGGCAGCCTGAGCGTGGGGGTCCTGAGAGACAAGGGTGGAAGAGAGACCTGCCAGTTCATCTGTATTCAGACTCTAGTGCGGTTTTATTGTACCTGGTCTGGCCTGGGTGCTGCGCACTGGGGAAACATAAGTGCAGCCTCTGCCTGTCAGCCCCCCGTGGTGATGTCCTTCTGCTATCGCATTTAGGTTGAGTGGAAGGAGGCTCACAAGTTCCTGAAGGTGGAGTTCCCTGTGCAGGTCCGGAGCACAAACGCCACCTATGAGATCCAGTTTGGACACCTGCAGCGGCCAACGCACTGGAACACGTCCTGGGACTGGGCTCGATTTGAGGTGAGAGGAAAGGTGGTCTGGTCCCAGGGCCGAGCTGCTCCTCCCGTGGTGGGGCTGCTTTTGCTCCCAGGCAGTAGCTCTGTGTGGTGAATATGTCCCTTGGTACCTCCTGCAGGTGTGGGCTCACAAGTGGCTGGATCTTTCCGAGCACGGCTTTGGGGTGGCACTGCTGAATGACTGCAAATACGGGGCATCGGCCCACGGGAACGTCCTCAGCCTCTCGCTGTGAGTTAGGGTTGGGGTAAGCGTGGAGCTGCAGCAGTCACTTTGTCTTCTGAGGCGTCTCTCAGAAGTCGAGGCAATGCCTGCTCCTAAATGAGCATAGTTAATAAGGAGATAGTCTGGTATTAGTCTAAGTGGCTGGCTGTCATCTGAAAACTTTTGGCTGACTTAATTACAGTTGACTAAGATAATGTAACTCCTATGAGTTATGCTCATAGATAATTCAGGGGAGATCAGATCCAAATTTGCACCAAGTAATTTTTCTGTTGCTGGCGAAAACATACCCCAGGAGGGGAGGCTTAAGGAGAGGGAAGGAACAGCAATGTTACGGATGTGTACAAAGCTAAGAGAAACTCTACATACTGCAGCTTGACTCCATCATCCACAAGTTTCACAGAAAAACACCCTTCACATTTTTTAGCTTCTGGGACTGTCCAGGGTCTGTTTGCTGTTGCCAGAAACCAGCAGCATGTTGGCTTCCAGCCTCGAGGTAGCGAGGGGAGGCAGTTGTCTTGTCACAGTGCTCCTCTGGCTCTGCACTGGCTGACAGAGGGTGCTGCCGAGAACGAATCTCACCTACCTCTTCTTGCCTTAGGCTGAGAGCACCCAAGTCCCCCGATGCCACAGCAGACATCGCGCACCACCAGTTCACCTACGCCGTGATGCCTCACCTGGGTAAGTGATGGGCAGAGCTGGGCCCTGTGGGGACACGCAGGGTGGAGGATGCTCCACTGAGCCTTGGGGAGAGCATGTCTCTGGCTGTGAGAGGCTGGCTAGAGGTTCTTGTGTTGCAGGTTCCTTCCAGGATGCCGGTGTGATCCAGCATGCCTACAACTTGAATTTCCCTCTCCACGCAGTCCCGGCCAGCTCTGCCCAGGGCCCAGCCTGGAGCGCCTTTTCTGTCAGCTCACCTGCGGTCGTGCTGGAGACTGTCAAGCAGGCAAGTCCCTGGGGCAGAAGCAGGGAGGGCAGACAGGTTAAGCTGCTGTTGTTAAGCATGGCTTGCTCTTTCCCCACGTTGGGCGGCGGGCAGGCTTAGCTGAGCGGAAACAGTGATCCCTCTGGTTTGTACGTCCTGCTAGGTGAGGACAAGGTGGGTTAGCACCCCTCTCTGCCAGGCCGGGCAGGCACTCGCACCAGGGATCGCAGTAGTATCCACATCTGTGTGTGGGTACTGCAGCCTCAATCATTAGCGCTGCACCGCGGCAGGTCAGGAATGCATGTGCACACAGGCAGAGCCGCCCAGTCGCGGTCACTTGGGTCGGGCTGTACCCCGAGGCGTAGGGTAGGATGCGCCTGCCTCATTTGTCTGAACTCCCTTCTGCACTGTCCCCCAAAGGCTGAGGACAGACCTGAAGCCGTGGTGGTTCGGCTGTACGAGGCGCATGGCAGCACAGTTGACGCCTGGCTCCAGACCTCCCTCCCCGTTAAGGAGGCGATGCTGTAAGTCCATGCTGGAGGGCTGGGCGCATGTGGGGACGGAGATCAGTTGCATCAGCCTCACCCGCTTTCTTCCCCAGCTGTGACCTCCTGGAGCGGCCGGCTGCATGGGGCTGCCTGCCGCTGGAGCGGCGGGGCGTGAGGCTTTCCTTCACACCCTTCCGCGTACTCTCCGTTCTCTTGGTCTTGAGGCAGTGACGCCGTCAGTTGCCCTTGCTGATGCTGCGGCAACCTGGATCAACACTGTGAGCTCAAATCGCAGCCTGAGGCTTCCCCGATCCCAAGTGCTGTGCAAGGAGGCGGTGGTTCCAGGGAAGGGCATAGTCTCCCCCTCACCCCCCACTCGGAGAGCAGCACTCGAGAACAACCATGTTCTTCAGGAAAGGAGGACAGTTGCCCCCTGCCTAACCAGGGAAGGAGAGCCTGAGTGAGTTCCCAGCTAGCTGAAGCATGGGTAAGGTAGTGGGACAGGCTGGCTGGCCCTGCACGGGCTCTGCCTCAGCCCCAGGGGGTTTGGGGAGCAGCAGCTTTCCAGAGGGGCTCCTATGTCTCAGCCTTCATCTTGTCCAGACCCCAGCAAGCGAGTATAAAGCGACTGCAGTCGTTCCCCTCTCCCTTCGCCTGCCTCTTGCACTGCCCTGGCAGAGGGGGAACACAAGTAAACAAGAGAATTACATGAAAACAAGCTCCAGCCTGTTTTCTTAACTTATTTCCAGATGCCTGCACTGATCTGCCTCCTCCCAGATGCTCTGTTCTAGCTGCTGCTCTCTTAGTGTCCTCCTCAAGCAGGATCTCACTCCTGGGACTGGGGAGGCAGAGCTTACCTTTATTTTTGCAGGGGCGAGGTGGAGGGGAAGCCTGCTCCAGCCCCTCTGGGGAAGATGCTGGGCACAGAGGGGTTATCCTTAGCACAAAAAGGTGTGCACATCATTTCTACACAAAATACTTTATTAGTCAGCTAAAAATAGTGATCCAGGCAGCAGCCAGAAAGGGAAGAGGGGAAGGAAGAGGGAATCCACTTTTAGGCAGAGGGAAGGGTCAGAGTCCAGCACAATGTGTGGTCTGTGGCCCTTATCCCCCTGAAATGCCTGGGGACAGCAGGAGGACACTGGATGAACCAGCCCCATCCACCAAGCCCAGCTTCTCCTTCCCACACTGGCAGGATGCAGCGGTAGCAAGCGGGCATGAGCACAGGGACAGAGCAGTCCCATTTCTCCCCAGCACTAACCCAGGCCCCCGGCCAGGCCCTCCCTGAGCTCCTCCTGCGGCTGTTAAAATGCCCCTCAGGAGGAGGGCAGTGTGTGGCACTCACACGGCAGGGGCTGCGCCTGGAAGATGGAAAGGGAAATGAGAAGTTGGAGGGTGAGGGGGTGCCTGGTTCTGTCCCGCGAAGCCCTGCTGGCTCCTCTCCTGCCTTTTGCCACCCCCTCAGTCCCCTTAACACAAGGGACTGCTCCCACAGCCCCCACCTATGCGTTTGAAAGCAGCAGTGACTGCCAGCCTCACCTCTGCCCCTGTGTGCAGACGTCCGGCGGCTTCTTTTGGCTTTGACTGGCGCCACAGGCTCAGGCAAGGCCGGAGCAGCGGTCGCTTTCCTCCTGCTGCGAGCACATCCCTTCCTCGGCCTGTCAGCCACCTCCTCCTCCTCCTCGGCCGACTTTGGGGGTTTCCTTGCAGCCCTGGGGCGCCGTTTCGAGGCACGCGCGGTGACCTAGGTGGACAGCAGAGCTGGAGCTTAGCAGCAGAAGTGTGCTTGGACCGCCAGATGATAAGAAACTCCACCTAGGAGCCCCACCATGAATTTGGGAGTAGCCTGAGCAAAGCATGGGGAACAGGACAGCCCCTACACCCAGCAGGAGTGACAACCACAAAGCTTCTTACCTTGGGGGTCAGAGCCTCGGGATCTGCCTTCAGCGGAGCGCGCTTCTTGCGGGACGTCTGCCCTGTGCGAGAAGACATGCCCAGGTTAGGCGGGATGAGGAGGAGATGGGGCAGAGAGCGCCCGCACAGGCTGCGGCACAGCAACCCTTCAGGAATGCTGTCCCGGGTGATGTGTGAGCAGAGCTGAGCCGGCTGAGGTGGGGAATTGGCAGGAAGGGCTTGAGGGGGCTCTTCCCTCCCGCCAGATTCTCTCCCCTGCCAAAACGTTGCTCAGTTCAGGCTCGCAGCCCCAGGGAGAGCACACCCTGCGGCTCCCAGCCTGGCAGGCGAGGAAAGGGACGTAGGTGCTGGCCTGGAAAAGCACCCTGCGGGCGCAAAGGCTGTGCCCAGACAGGCGGGTGTGCTGGTAGGAACCCTTGGGGACAGCAGGCTCCGTCCCCCAGTGCCACCAGCCATCACAGGCCCGTGAGCACCCCAGGGAGAGGGGCTTTGCTCCTGCCTTTGCCCCCGTGCTGCACAGCAAGCATGGGGCTTCCCAGGCTCCAGCCCTCCCAGAGCAAGAGCAGGTCCCGCAGGAAGGAGAGAGGACACTCACCTTTGGGAGCCATGGGGCCAGGCTCTCCCTGCAAGGAAGGCGACAGAGCGTTGACTGGGGCGCAGTCATTCTGCAGGTAGCGGCAGCAGACAGAATCCGTCCCCCTTCCCCACCCCGCAGCCAAGACAGTGATAAGGAAACAGCCGTGTTTCCCCAGGAAGCCGGAGGAGTCGGGCTTGCTCTGCCTGCCCTGAGCCTCAGGGACGCTCCCGTCAGCCCCTGCTCCTTCTGCAAGGCCCCCCCACAGCGCCTCACCCAGACACGGGGCACAGGAGGGAGGAACAGGGCTGCCAGACCACCCGAGCCCACCCTTCCCGCAATCAGTCCCTCTGCTCCAGACTGCCTGCCATCCCTTGGCCAGCTGGCCACTGCACAGAGGGTCCTTGTCACCTCCATGTCCAGCGGTCACAGCAGTCTGTCAGAGAGGGAGACCCCCAGCAACACAGCGTAACGCTGGGGGATCTCGGGAAGCGGAAAATGGGCTGGTGTCCCCTTGGAGGAGTGGTTGGGGAGCACCTGGCCCCAGGCAGCAACCCCAAACCCCTACGTGGAACCATATGGTCCTGCCGTTGCGGTCACGCAGGGAGCTCATGCCAGGCACCAAGTAACACTGCAGCCAGTTCTTGAAAGCAGCATAGTTATCCGAGTGATCGGGGTCAAAGAGCTTTTTCTCTGGGAAGGGAGAGAAGGAAAGGACAGAAGTAGAAAGGAAGCAGTGATCATGGTGTCGGGGTGCCCTCCCAAGCCTCCAGCTCCTGGGAACGCAAAGCCCAGGCCTCCTCGCCAGCCCCAGCTGTCCCTGTTCCCCAGCTCCCTGTCCTGTCACCTCACCTGCCGCGATGACCTCCATGGGCACGGTGTGGCACAGCTCCAGGAGATCCGGGTTCTCCCGCATCAGCTTCAGCTTCTTGCTCAGCGTCAGGGAAGGATTCTGCAGGGGAGGGAAGTCACCTGCCAGCCACCCCAGCCTCGTCGGGGTCTCTCCTCCCCAACACCAACCAAATTCCCCATCTCCTCTTGCCCTCCTGAGGAGGAGCGGCCACGCTCCCCACCACGTGCCAGCCCTGAGCTCACCCCATTGTAGGCTTCGAACTGTGCATTCCCCACAGCTACACAGACATGAAAGAGGGCTAGCACACAGGAACACCAGGAGTTTGTAAAAACAGCCCTCAAGTCACATGTTTTGTTTTCAGCCTCCTTTAAAATAGCCACCTCCTCTCCCCCGAGGCCATAAGATCAGCTGTGGGCTCTACTGCAGCCTTCCCCAGAGATTTTTAAGCTTGCAAGGCGTTTGTTTCCCTCACCCCTTCCTCTTCACCCGCCCCAAATATACCCGGAGTCCTCCTGACGGCAGAAGCCGGGTGCTGCCGGGCACCAGTGCAGCACACAGGCATGTACCGGGGGAGCTGTCACAGCTCGTCAGCCCAGCCACGTGTGAACGAACGCTGCACGCGTGAGGTTACAGAAGTGCTGCGCCCCGTTTGCCGCTCCGTTGGAGGGGCAGACGTGCTCAGACACGGGTGTTTATAGCAAAGGACAGTAACATGCTTGAGGAGAAAGATCCCGTGCAGCAAGCATTATAGTTGTGAAGGGAAAATGCCCGCCGTCAGGTTGGGAAAGACTCAGAGCAGCAAATACCTCCAGACAGCGGTGTGGGCAGAGGCTGTGCGAGCTCTGCAAGGACCTCGTGACAATGTTCTGCCCCATCAGAGCAAGGAACCAAACACGAACTGAAACTGGCCCCGAACCCTGGGCTGGAACAAGCCCAAAACAGCAGACCTGAACCAGAGCTTCGTGCCCAGCTAAGCCCAAAGCTGAACCAGAGCAAGGCAGCCAGCTGAGCCCAGAATAGGAGCTGGACGCAAACTGAACCACCTCCACTGCTGCCGAGCCCAAACCCGAATCAGGAACGCTTCTCAGCTCAGTCCAGCTCCCTGCACGGAAGACAAGAGGCTCCCGGGATGCCAGGGAGCTGCCGAAACATCCCACAGGGCCACAGGCAAACAAATCCCTGCTATGGCATCTGTCTGGAAACCTGCCCCTTTCTGAGCCTGCGAAAGCACCAGGTATTCCCCACCTTCTTCCTCCTCGCCTGCTCCTGATCCTTCAGGGCCTCCAGCACCGTCCGAGCCTTTTTGAAGGGAGGGATCTTCAACCTGAGAGGGTCCATCTGTTACACACAAGCCTGGTTCTGGCACTTGCCTGTGTCTACCAGGTGGGGAGGCCCAGCCGGCTTAGCCGAGGAGCTATCAAGCTCTGGCAAACTCTTGGAGACCGAACTCCCATGGCAGGTCAGTGGGTACTCAATCCACCTTACCTGTACAGGATCTCAGCGCGGAGGTAATTCCCAATTCCATTGAAAAACTTCTGGTTTAAGAGGGCCTCGCAGATGGGCTTGTCAAAAGCCTTGTCATCCAGGTTCTTCAGCACGTTCTCCCTGCAACAGAGCACGGGGTGTCAGGCAGGTTCACCTGGGCACGACCGTTCTACTGCTGTGCAGTAAAAGCAGCCAAAACAAAG